CTTACTGAAGTTTGTGACTTCAGTAAGAGGTTTCTTCAGATTTTTTGGAACACTGACTGCTACTGGAGAGCCTTTCTGCCCACAGCTTCACCAACAATTCTTAGAATATAGTTGGATGATATAAGTTACAACATTTAACTTCCCTTGTGTATAAGTAATGTATGTTTGAACTGAACTGAACTGAATTCTCACCCTCTGACATTTGTGTGCTGACTGCAGCTCCATGACTGTCTGGCAGGACCAGAACAGCAGAAGGAGGCAGCTGGCACCGAGGAGTAGAGAAAGATGTTGCTGGGATGCACAGAATCTGTCAGAAACGATGTCAGGTCACTGCTCTCCTCATCTGCTCTCTGGTGAGCTCCATTCATCTTGGCAGATAGCAATTTCTGTGTCAGGTTAACCTCCCTCCGCAGACTCGCCTGAGATGTCTTGACTGGGTCAACGCAGATCCACCGACAATCCTGTCGGGCAATAACACAATTACTGAGAGGAGAACAAAGCAGGGGAACGGCTCACACAGCCACAGTACATTAACCTCGTTTTACCACCGTGATGGATATCCAGAGCCGGCTCTGCCCAGGTGAAGGAAAGGTAGAAGAAGAACAATCTCTGAAACTGAAAATTGCCTTAAAGGATCACGGTTAATCAGTGGAAGGCAAGTCAGTTAATCTTGCTTATTGCCACAACAAATTGTTTGACTATAACATAAAGTGTCATCTTAAAATATTATGGAGATTTACACAACGGTGGTGCAAGGGTAAAGTGCGTGACCCATGAACAGAAACCTTACTCCTCTATATGTGCTGACTGCACCTCCATGACTGGTGCTGACCCGTTGACCTTTGCCCCTCTCTGGCCTACTTTGCTGTTGACTGACTGTCAAATAAATGCCGCTAGAGTAAAAAAACTTTAAAATTATGGAGATTATTTGTGTTGCTCATTATCTAGCCCAATCATGCACAAGTCATATTGTCTAGTCAACACAAGTTACTTCACTGATGTCTAAAATAAAGAGGTAGCAAACACTTTTTCTGGCAATAATGCATATAGCTGGAAGTGTTTACAGTTAAATACCATGAGATAAACTGAAGCTCTGCATACATGCCTCTGTTTATCTTTATTTTAGCAGCTCAGTCTGGTGTTTATCGACTTATTTACTGCCCTTCTACCTGCCTGAGTGCTGCATTTGAATCCTTCCACCACAATCTATACACCTAACCACAATAAGTGAGTTATGCCCAAGTTACTGTACTATAAGGGTCACCCAAGCTATGACATCACGCAGTGTCACTGCTAGTACGCTGTGTTCACAGCGGAAAATCTTTTTCTTATGTAAAGACTTCAAAGTAAGACCATTCAGAGACTAGGTGTCATTTTCTTCCAGCTGACTAACTTGGAATGTGAAATTATCGCTTTTAGGACAAGTTGGACAAATAATACTGTGTTTTATAGCGATGTTCTATTTGTGATTATGAGCTGAATGATTTTAAATCCTTATGACATTATAGTTTGTGTTGATTACTGCTTGGTCGGCTCTTCCACGTGTGATATGGACTTCCAAGAGAAGCAGATCTCATTGTGCCTGACAAGAAAGACAAACATCATTTGTCAAGACGTCAACAGGACACATGCCATCTGTTGAACTTGTAACATGTAAGGTTGTGTGCCGGTCTTGACTACTTTCCAATTTTGCCACCCTGAAGAGAAAGAGAGAGATTTTTCCGAGCTATTCTCTCCTGATGTGAGATTTTTTCCAAAAACAGCCACTTCTTTCACCGACAGCCACAATAAACCAAATTAATCAAATGAAATGCAGGATTTTGGTTAATTTAATCACTGAATCATTTCTGGGGTAATTATCCGAGTCAGAGAAATGCTGTGTGGAGAGTCCAAGGAGCAGCGCATACTAGATTCAAAGGGAATCTGGTTCTCGCATCTAATTCACCGCAGAGGTTGGAATTAAACTTCTACTTTTGATATTTGGTCACTTTGGGCTTCTCTTGACTCGTTATAACAGCAAAAACATTTCTTTTTCTTGTATAAGAGAGTTATATTTACAAATTCCAGTCACATAAATGTCTTTAACTTCTGTAAAATAACTATAATAATTCTGTGTTCAGACAAGCCACAATAAAACAACATGCTTTTGATATAGACATTTCATAAACTCCTTAAGCCAGATGTTTAATACCTAACATAAAATGCAAAAAATAACTTCTACTGTGCCTTAATAATTCATACTCTTCGAACATTTCATCATATGACTTTGTGTTTTTCCCTTTAAGAGATATATATTTTTTTAAGTACTGCACTCTCTGAGATACTTGTGGCATTAAATTGTTCCTTATATTTTTTTTTACATGGTAAACGGTGGTTGCCCAGCCATTTTCAACGTGATTTGCTCAAAAACAACTAGGTCTACCAGGGGGCAAAGTTTGCGAAACCATAAACAACAAATCTGAGGCTGAGTGCTCAGGTACACCTGTTGTTGTGTTATCAAGGTGGTTGTATGTAACAGCAGAACTCTGATCACTTTTTTGGTTGTCAGTTGACAATTTAAACGTTACCGTTTGTCTGTCGGACAATGTGGAATAGCAAAGACGAGTCTGTGTTGGGAAATGCAGAGGAGGCTGGAGCTCACTGACCAGTTTCCAGTTAAAGCCGTGTCTGGTGAAGTAACATTAGACTGGAATGTTGACGATTCATTTTTATCTTTTTAGATATGAGTTGAAGTTGTTTGCCATGCGACATGCCAGTGTGGCAGCATTTTATGGGGCTACATAAACAGCTGAAGTGATTTGTTTTCAAGCAAGAACATCAAAACAAAAATGATGTCTAATCAAAAAAAATGACAGATAACCAGCGTTCATCTGTTAAAGATAACAGAGAATTATATTCTCCGGCAGAACCATGCAGTGGTTTCCAATAGTGTCAGAAATGTATGGCTGTGGAGTAAAACAAATCTGTAATTCATAAAAGCAACGCCGCTCTTAACTCGGTGGTACGACTGATACATTTCGGTTGTTACAAAGTTGTAGTTGTAGTTAGAAAACATTTCCAGTAGGTGGCGGTATTGCTACATTTTACACTCACGGAGACGCGAGAGAAAAGAAGTCAGTGACGCTTTCGACGTCAAAATGTCTTGGATGAACCACTTAGCTTAGAAGCTAGCAGCTCAGCTTTGCTTTTTGTTTTCGTTTAGTTTTGCGTTTCTTTCGCTTGGAAACCCGGGTTTTGTACTAAATGGCGACCAGAAGGTTATCATGAAGCTGCGGGTTCAGAATGACAGGTGAGCTGGAGCTTTATGAACTGATAGGAAACAGCTGTTAGCTGCTAACAGCTAGCTGTGGTAAGGAAAGTGTTAGCTGTGTTATCTGTCGAGCTGCTAAAATGGAGAGTATCTGAATTAACTTCTAGCGTTAACAGAAAACACTCCTGAAAACATTATTTGGGCATTTGCTTGGTCAGTGTTTGTTAATTAGTCTTATTAAATATGGCGAGACAGTTGAGTAAATAAGTAATAAATAAATAAATAAATAAATAAATAAATACTGACGTACTTCATTTCCTGCTGCAGAATCATGAACATCACACACTGTCTGACAGGTCTGTTTTCCTTCTAGGCGTGATTCCAAAAGAGCACTGAAACTGAGGGAGTCTCCTACTGTAATGCAGCCTAATCCAAGTGAACGGGGTGTTCATGAAGGGAATGGTTTATCCTTAAATCTGCAACCAGAGTTCCTCACTGGGACACCAGTTATTGCTGCTGCAGCTGCTGCTGCTGCTTCCAACGCTGACAGCAGCGAGGTCAGGGTGTCCATGAACGGGGCTTCTGGAGACTCAAATGGAGGCGCGTCGTCCAGGAGGTCCAGGGTCAGCTCCCACACTCACTCCCACGTCCACTCTCACTCGCACGGACAAAGTCGGGCGCAGCTCCACTCTAACTCAGAGCCTGAGCTTGACCCACCTGACCCCGATGGGGACTCTGGCGAGCCCAGCGCCTCGCTGACCGAGCTTCGCTGCTTGTTCCGTTGGATCCAAAAAAGTCTTCCCTTCCTCGTCATACTGTGCGCTAAGCTGGTCGTCCAGCATGTTCTGGGTGAGGACGAGTTATGATAACAGTGTCGGTGTAAATTGTGAGCACAGGTCAACCGGTATGCTTTCTCTTCTTCTCCCAGGTTTAGCAGTTGGGGTGGGCCTCCTGACAACTTTTTTATATGTGAATAAAAACATTCAAACTCAAGTCTTTCTTCAGGTAAGCTCCGGTGTTAGTTTTCAAGTTCCAGAATGATGCATTCATCAACGTTGTTTTCAAAATCCCAGAAAATGTTCCTCCTTTGCACGCCTACAGGATCGTCACTCGAAGCTGCGCTGCATATGGCTGCTTGTCTTCCTCATCTCCTCCACGCTCCTGCTGTACTACACTTTTCTCCCAGAGACACTTTACTTCTCGTAAGGCTTACTCACTTACTACATGATTTTTTTTTTTTTTATGTTTGTGGACGAGACACTTGGTTAAAAACTGATAGCTGACTCACTGGCTTGCAGAAGTATTCATATTCTTTGAACTTTGTTCTGTATTTTATTGACACCATGTGATAAACATAAAGTCAGTGGCACCCCCAGAAAATCTTCATAGACCAGGTCAGTGAAGATTTTAGGGAGGGCAAAGTGAAAAAAATAATCTCTCTCTTTATACATAACAGCACTGAAACAAATAAATCTGATTAATTGTGATTATTGAAATAGTTGTCAGCTAATTTAGTAATTGATTAATTGCTAACTGGAGCATACAGACTCAAAAAAGGCCATTTGCTGAAAGAACATTCTTGGCACTAGCTAAGCTGAAATGTGCTCCTGCTGTGTATATATTGCTATGCAATTATTAATTAGTTAATCTGAAAAATAATCTACAGACCAGCCCTACACTGCAATGATGTAAAGTCGAGCAGAAAGAGCTTTTCACATATAGAAGTTATTTTTTTTCTTCACTGCATGTGAATAATTTGCTAGAAAAATGATCCCCCCTTTGGGGCGCCACTGTGGGAAAAACGTAACAGGATTCTTGTTTGTACTTTTGCAAGCCTTTAGAGGACTGAACTATAAGAGCGTTACGTTGTGCAACTCGAATATCATCTTCCTTCCAGCCTCATCTTCTTAAGTCCAACCATCGAGCCGCTGGGTTTCTGGGAGATCCTTTGGGCCGTCGGGATCACCAACTTCATTATAAAGTTCCTGTTTATGGGAATAAAGTGCCTTATCCTGCTGGTTCCCTCAGCACTCGTTACCTACAGAACCCAGGTAGGACCAGGCAGGTTTAAGAGAAGAAAAAGCTGATTCATGTTGGGCGGTTGTGTCTGAGGGGTTGTTTCCGTGTACAGGGCCGGTGGCTGATGCTGACTGAGGAACTGGGTCAAGTGCACCAAGCTACAGCGCCTGTTCCACTGTGGTTCCGCTACCTGGTTAGCTACCAGGAGTCTGACGGGGTCTCTGGGCTCACAACTGGGGTCCTGTTGGCTTTATTCTACCTCATACTGAAGGTGGGTATATAGATTTATGCTGCTTATGGTGAATATTTCCCTCTCTCTTTTTTTTTTTTTTTTAAATTGAAGCAAAGTCTAGATTTCTGACATTGAACATTTCCCGTTTTCAGCTTTTAGGATTGTACAACCAGCGAACGTCTTTACTGAAAACTGTGAGGATATTTCTAGCAGGCGAGGTCAGTGGTAAACGCCTTCTCTCTTCATCGAAGCGGTAACAACCAGGGCTTCCGAA